TCCATTTTTTATATGACTTCTTTTTATTTTGTATATCATGCAAGATCTCATGGTTAAGCCAAGGTGGTCTTTTTGCCACATTTTCTATCTTTCCTAACCAGCAGAATAGCTTGCTTTTGGGCCCTGTGGTGGGGTGACTGCCCCACATCCAGAGAGAGTAGGCCGCGGCAGGCCTAGGCGCCTGCGCAGGCGCGCGGCCAATCAGGAAAGGGCTTACTGGGAGCCAATCAGAAGGCAGATTGGGGCCAGCCAATCAGGGCCCGCCTCAGCCATATAAAGACTGCCCAGAGCAGGAGCAGTCAGTCTGTCCCAGGCCTTCAGAGGGGAAGGTCTGTCTCCAGAGCTGGGAGTCCAGCACCGCGGACAGCGCAGTGCAGGCCAGCCTGAGAGAGTAGGAGAAGGCCCTACTCCATAGCCTGCCAGGCAGCAGGCCTGGGAGGAGGAGGCCTAGCGTAGAGAAGGGCTGTTGGGGAAGCGGTCCAGAGGGATAGTCAGATAGTTGTTTCCCCCTCCCCCCCGGAAGGGGGTGTGAATGGACAAAGGGACACTGTCGGAGGACAGTGTTCCAGAAGAGGACGCCGACGTTGGGAGCAACGCAAGTCCGTGCACCCCACAAAGGCGAGACGACAGGCGGGACGCCACCCAAAGAGGGCGCTCTACTGGCTCAAACTAATTCCCCGAGACGACCAGGAGGAGGCACCGCAGCGGTGAGCTACTGACCCTGTCACAGGCCCTTAATAGTGTCCCTTTGAAAAACTGCCAACTCTCCTCAGTTGTTTTTCCCCTCAGTCTTGATTCCCATGGGACCTTACCTATCAGCTCTCTGAGCTTATCAAAATCCGCCTTCCTGAAATCCATTGTCTCTATTTTGCTGTTCTCCCTTCTACCCTTCCTTAGAATTGCAAACTCTATGATTTCATGATCACTTTCACCCGAGCTGCCTTCTACTTTCAAATTCTCAACGAGTTCCTCCCTATTTGTTAAAATCAAGTCTAGAACAGTTTCCCCCCAGTAGCTTTTTCAACCTTCTGAAATAAAAAGTTGTCTGCAATGCTGTCCAAGAACTTGTTGGATAGTCTGTGCCCCGCTGTGTTATTTTCCCAACATATATTTGGATAGTTGAAGTCCCCCATCACCACCAAATCTAGGGCTTTGGATGATTTTGTTAGTTGTTTAAAAAAAGCCTCATCCACCTCTTCCACCTGGTTAGGTGACCTGTAGTAGACTCCTAGCATGACGTCACCCTTGTTTTTTACCCCTTTTAGCCTAACCCAGAGACTCTCAACACTTCTTCTTAGGACTTAAATCAGGGTCTCAGGAATAGAGCTGACTGAGGAAACAATCAAGTCTGCTTTGTTTTGAAGTTTACACTCTCAGAAGAGACAGCTTCAAATGATGCTGAAACTTCTTGGTGCTCAAGACTGCAATGTTCTTGCTGCTTCATGTGCAGCAGTGCCATTGAAGTCGTTAACTGCTGTACAAGCTAGCATGCAACTATGGGACCTTTAAGGAGCAGTGACAGTTGAGGGTCAACTCATCTACCAATGAGACCTCTCGACACATGAGTTCAATCTCACACTCAAGTTCAGTCCCACCATCTAACTGGCTGGTTTCTTGCTCTGGTGAAGACACTGGACAACCATCACCCGTATTAGGCTGTTACATGGAAGATACCTGCACCTGATGCACAAATGGAGCATCAAGAATTTGCCATGGTGTGAATGTGGAGACCTCCTGACCATCGGACACATTGAACAAGTGCCCCATCTCTTCATTTCCAGGAGGTATCACAAAGATGCACTCTACATCTCCTGAAGCCCTCGAATGGATTTCACACCTTTCTATTAACTTGTCAATGTTGCTATTTCCATACGAAAGAAGTCTCACACTACTATCTCATTACAACCTATAGAACTGTAACATGCAAATTAGCTCTAGAGAAAAAGTAATGATTGGGTGAGTTACTTCTTGTGTTACAGTGGTTCCAGTTAGAAGTAATCTAAGCTGTTGACCTGGCCATCTCTATGTCCTATATTATGGAGGTGCCAGTCCTGGCTTCACAGTTGAGTTAAGTTTTGTACCTGAAGCAGACATTCAATCTCTTTTTTTATATATTTAAAAATACCATATCCTCCCCAAGTTAGAGCACACGCTTTTTGAGAGTAGAATGAATGTACTGAGAAATTACAAATCTATTAATTAGTTTTTGAGTTAAAAATAATGCAAAACTGTTCCTCTAAGAAATGTAGCTACCTGTGAATGTGATGATGAGAAGGATGGAGAAACTGAGTCAAACACTCCAGCTGCCATGCTCCACTGTCACAATGCAAGTCAGCTCTAAACCCAGTTCAGTTGTCCAGTATGTTCTGACAGCTTTGTGCAGCTCTGGAATGTCACAACGCTGCCAGAGCACACAGGTGAATCTAGTCCTAAAAGATCAGCATTTTAAAAATTATTTAAAATTGATACTACATATCTTCAAAACATCAGAACTATCACATTCTTGTTGGGTTTCTTGTTCGTGTATGACATTTTTAATCATTAAAAAAACCCAAGTTAATTCTCAAACAGAAACCATGTTAAGACAGAGCTAAGAAAGATGGTACATATCAATAGTTGAAGGTAAAATACATTGCGGAGGTCGAAATTATCCCCAGAACAATGCCCTTTAGTGCCATCATGAGGGAGGAAATAGAAAACATCTGTGCCTTTAAAAATAGTTTCCTCCCACCTCCTCTTTTGCCCAATACCTAAGTCAAGGGGAAATAGCATTAATTCCAAAGTCCTCTCAGAATATCTGTCTATTAAGGACTGGCTCCTGTCATTGTTTTATTTTCCCCAAACATCTCTCATAAAGAGCAGATGTAAAAGGAGAACCTTTGAAGCAACCTATTTAGCTGATGGCCGACAGTTAAATCCACATTCTAATGCATGCCAAGATTAACCCTTCAGAGATTTGCTCCCCGTCCCTACAAGGCCAGCTGTGATAGGGCAGTAGAACTCACATAGTGCAGTATTATTTCTCTTTTCCATTTGTGGATTTTTATGCATCAAAAGATCCACCCCTCTTCCCTCTAGGCTGCTATCTTTTACCAACACCTTTATCATAATAATTCTTTGCAATGAGGCGGTGTCAGCCCCTGGATAGTATACTGGACTAAGAGTCAGGAGACAAAGATTATATTCCTGGCTTTGCAATCAGCTCTGTGATCTTGGGAAAGTTTCTATGCCTTGGTATCTCCATCTGAGAATGGGGACCATGAGATTTACTGTCTTTGGTTATGTACTTTGAGATCTTTGGATATAAGAGTTAAGAGCTAAGCATAATTATTAGTTGTACTCCCTTTGGGGATCTTTCATCTAAAGATTTCAAAATGTTTTACATTTATTAGGTATGCCTCACAACATCTTTGAAAATAAGGATTAGCCTTATTTTACAGATGGAGAAACCAAGGCACAGAGCAGCTAAGTGACTTGGCTAAGGCCAAGTAGTGAGACAGTAGCAGAGATAGAAACAGAAATTGGGAGTTCTGGTGCCCTTTCTGCTCTAACCACTAGAAAACACATCCTCCCTTTCTTGGGTCTGCAGTATAATGGTTAAAAAAATATTGTGCATTACAAGTCCATGAACAGTAATAATAGTCTCTCATTAAGTTTGACAGATGAGCTACAGTCATTATTATTATTATATTGTGGGTACTGAGACCAAAAAATATAATTTAAAATGGTTTTATGGAGCTTTTTGAGTTATGTCATATAAATGTAAAAATATTCAGCATTATCTGTGCCAAAAGAACAAACACTATCCAGCAATTTCTTTTCCTTCACTTTAAAGATTTATATCCAGATTCAGCCCTGGGATGGATGTTTCCAACTTCTGTTGAAGTCAGTGGGAGCTGAGCAAAATCTGGCCATCCTAAATTACTGTGTTTAATACAAGCAACCATCCTGTACACTCTAAGCAGCTAATGGTCTGGGAGAAAAGAAATTATCTTTATTCTAAAAGCCAGGGTAGCTATTAAATATTGCTGTCCTAAGCGAGGAAACCTCCTAATTCTTATTTAATCAATAATGATATGAAGAGAAACATACAAGAAACTACCTGCAACAGATGGACAGATGCTGCATCCAAAATAGTCCAAAATCTCGGATAGCTTTCCCTGAAACCTGTAGCCTAAGTCTTCATAGCCACAAACTTCCCAGTGAAGTGCAGGGTTGGTTTGTTTTTTGATTTCTTTCTTTTTGCTGCTTTGTTTATGTTTCGTAACTAAGCACTCAGTAGTCTGGCAAGTGGCTAAGCAAGTGAACAATAAGTTCCCTTCTCTCAGTTGCACGCCCAGCCTAGCACCTCCTGGGTTGGAGTTGCTGCATGTTGTTTATGCTTTCCTTTTTTTTTTTTTTTTTGACAGTTCACCCTCCAGTTGAAGCAGTCAGCTTTTAGCAGCTGGCTGAATGGGAATCTGTGGGGCCGTGGGCATGTAAGAACTCAATTGGATTACCTGACGCACAAGGCAGCCTTAGCTCCAAAGCTCAGCAGCCAGTCAGCAGGCTGATGTCACTTTCAGACCACAGCCAGTCCAAAGAAGGAGAATGTGCACCAAAGAGGCAACTGACAGCCTAAGATGGACAGCCTTTGTTTTATGATAAGGAAAATTGTCAGTCCTGAAGGATACCGATGAGGGCTTTGGAGACACATCCTAGGAGAAAAAACAAGTGAAAGTTACAAGGGAAAACAACTGATTGGATTGCAATGCAACGCTCAAAATAGGAAGAGAAAAATCAAAGAAAATCCTGTAATACCACAGGACAGGTCTGACTTGGGACTAGAGCACATGGAGAGGAAGGGATGTGAAAGCAGGGAAGCTCCCTGCAAGGCAGGTCTGAGGTGAGCACCAGAATGTAGAGAGGAAATAGCAACATAGGAGAAGGATTTCTTGGACTGATTTGATCAAACCCTCACATTCATTGTTTTTTTAAAAACTTCCAAAATATATTTCCTTTAACATTTTATTTCATTCCTTCAGGCTTTGAGTAGTTTCCTACTGGTTTGAGTTGAATGGTGTAAAACAGGTGATTTATTTTGGAGATTTAAAATAAGTTACATCAATAGATATCTTTTATCCCCAAATACCTACACCACTACCAAAACACAGCCACCTCTGGGGTAGCATTGTGGGAAGGAATGAAACATACTGAGGCAAACATGGCTCTTGTAAAAAGAACCATGGCATCTTTAAAGTTCATGCAGCGTGGCTAGAGCCTTCTTTTTAAAGAATATTCACAGAGAGTACATCGCATGGATTTCGATTTCATGACACACCAGAATGAAGACCTGATACAACACAGAGCATATGGACGAAAGGCCAAAATTTATATTAACAAACTACCCAAAGGTAACTGTTAGCTAGCCCTTGCAGTCCAGTTATAAGGCAGACACGAGTCAAGACATACTTACCACCTTCATTCGAGTATCAGAAGCTGAAGCAAACCCTACTCCGTTCTCATCCTCCTCAACTTGTCAGCTGCCTTGGGAACTGTTGATCATACTTTTCTTCTTGATATCTTGTCCTCCCTTGGCTTCTAAGACTCTCTCCGCTCACCTCTCTAATTGCACCTTCCACAGGGCTCTGTCCTTGGTCCCCTTCTCTTCTTCCTCTGCACCTCACATCTGAGGAATCTAATCCGCAAACACAAATTCAACTTTCATTTCTATGCTGACAACTCACAGATCTACCTCTCTACTCCAGACCTCTCTCCTTCCATCCAAACTAAAATCTCTGAGTCATCTTTGACTCAGCCCTCTCTCTAGACCCTCACGTCCAGGAGGTATCTAAAACTTGCTGAGTCTTTCTAAATAACACCTCTGAGATACAGCCCTCCCTATCCACCCACACAGCTAAAACTTTTGTTCCGGCTGTCATCATTTCATGTCTCAATTACTCCAGCCTCCTCTTCTCTGGCCTTGACAAATGCAATCCTGACCTGCTCGTATCCATTCAGAATGCTGCTGTAAAAATCATTTTTGTAGCTTACCATTTTACCTGTATCACCGCTCTCTTTGCATTCCACCACTAGCTTCCTTTTCTCCATTGCTTGTCTTCTCTTACAAGGCCCTTCATAGCCTATCCCCAACATACCTAGCACGTCTCATTCACTATTGAAATGTCAGCTCCCATCTCCGATCTCCTCATGAGGCCAGCCTCCATCACCCACTTCTTACATTTTCAAACAAGCCCTTCCGTGCTTGCTCCCATACAAAACCCGCTCAAAAATGGGTAGGCAGCTGGTGTTCTGAGGCCATCCTGCTGACCATTACTGTCTCATTGTTTCTTTGTACTCTCCTCTTTGTCTCTCTGAATTCATCTCTGGTCTCTTGTCTTGTGCTTAGATTGCAAGCTCTTTGGGAGCAACGACAGTCTGCTTTGAGGTTGTACAGCACCTAGCACAATGGGATCCTGTCGATGACTGGGGCTGCTAGATGCTACCATAATACAAATCATAAAGTAGCGTCTGAAGATTAGGATTCAAACATAGTACTCTAGCAGAGTCAACCTGATTGCCTTTCTCAAGGAAGTACCTCTCAGGGTCTGTGGAAGATCAGTGTCGGCCACCAGGACACTGGCAGTGTGGCCTGATGGTCAGCACAGTGTTCAGGAACTGGAAGCCAATGGGCAGTACCAGTGTCAGGAGCCAAGTGTCAGAGCTGTGGTCAGACAGGACAGAGGAGCCGAAGCCAAGGGGCAGTGCTGAGTCAGATGCCAAAGAGCCAAAGCCGGGGGTCAGAGGTGGAGAAGTTGGACACCAGCGTGACAGGGTTCAGGGCTGGAACAAGGCTAAGGGCAGGAGCCAGGATAGGGTGGAAGTCAGGAATCCAGGACAAGGCTAGGAGCCAGGTGGCAGACAGCAGGGTTTGTAGCAGCAGCAAGCCAGGATCCACCTTATTGCACAGACAATTTCCTGTGTCTCATTCTAGTTTAAATAGTGTACTCAGCCCAATCAGGGACTCCGGAGCTCCTCCAATCAGGTGGGCAGTACCTTTAGTGGAGCATAAGGCCTTAGGGCTCCCAATTCTCCAGTGATTAGTAGAGCCATTACATAATATTGTGGATGGGGCAGTGGCCCAAGAGTCTGTGGGCCCAGGTCAGGACCCGCACATCCTCACAGTATCTCAATTTAGGGAAAAGGTCCCCCCATCAATCCATTCCTGCTATAGGACTACACAGCCAGCCCACCAAGAGACTCAGCTAGTGCCCTGTATGGCTCAATCCCCCCACATGCATTTAAAAAAAAACCCCTTCTAACCATGACTACATACCCACACTGAAGGTTTCTAACCAACTGCTGCTCCATCTCTGTACAACATTCCTTAAGAACTGAACACTAGTGACCATGGGTGATGTGCATGCTTAGGTGACAGTTGGGACCCTGAACATCCCTCTATCATCTTGCAGGCCACAAAGTCTTTCCAATAGGTCCTAATGCCATTCCATTTGTGAGAGGAGAGACAGCGGACAAGTGGAAGGCCACTGTTGAGCTAGGGAAACCCTGAGCACCCGGCTGAGTGCAACATGGTCCTCTGGTATGGGCCACTCCTACGTGTAAACATAGCATAAAAGGCGTGTGCCTGCTTTTTCTGTGGATAAGGACAGTGGGGAATAGATAGCACTACTTATAATGGTTTATTTGGGAGGTCCCAAATGAAGTTTATGGTGATAATTCTATAAGGGTGTTTGTACAGTTAATAGTGAGGTTTGCTGAATCACTTTTCTAGAAATAATCTGTTGTGTGAGTTTGCCCTATTATAATAAAGTTAATAATAATACCTACTATGTCAGGTGCAAACATACTATGTCAGGTGCAAACATAGATTTTATTAACTAATAAACGTATCTAAATATTGTCACTCCATTGCTATAATAGACTTAACCACCGCAGTTATGAACCCCTGGGGCCAGATTCTAATCTCACCTCCCAGGTAAATCAAGACTAGCTCCACTGACTTCAACAATTATTCTGGATTTACACCTTGTTAATGAGATCAGAATCTGGCTCATGGTTTGTCTTCCTGTGTCCGAAAAGAACTTTCCTTTGAAAACAAAGCAATTGCAGAAAATTCATTCATGCGTTGCACAGGTTTGAATCTAAATGGTATTTCAGAGTCATAAACACACCTCTCTCAGAAACAGAATATTACCATGTGAAACCTGCAACTGGTTTATTATGCATCCATAGTACCCTTTATTGGATGACAATGATAGATGCGCATGGCAAAGTTTACATAACTAGACCACTGTGTAAGAAGGTTAACTAGATTGAAAGATTGTTTATCCTGGTGGAGGAATTGCTGGATGAAGGCTTAAAACTCCCTTATGTTCCATCCAGCTTTCTGAGAACTGGCAGGGGTCAGAATCCAATTATTCTCTGACATTAATGCCTTTTCATCCCAGCAGTGAGGCCGAAGAGTGGGAAGCACTTAACATTTACTTAAAGGTAAGGATTATTATTTACACCTCAGCAAAGGCTGGTTCCTACAAGCTGCTAAAAGGGCAGCCACAGGACCGCTCAGGTCCAGGGGGACTAACACTGCTAATGTAGGGTTTATTGCTTTTGGTCTAGGGTTGCATAGTACAAGGTGTAGCCGTGCCTTTGTGAGTCACAACTCAGAATGCCAAATTCAGGACAAACTGCTGAGAAATAGGGCAAACAGAACCCAAAACCGGTGGTTATTCTTCCATAAGATATACCAAACCAACAATAAAAGTAAACTTCTGTCTCACACACTGGCTAACAAGAAGTCAGGAGAGCAGTTTCCTTAGATACTTCAGTCCTTGTATCACCACCAGAAACACTGGATTTAAAGATGAGTGGTTCTTTAAAACCAGGCTCATCAAAGAAAAGGTACTTCTGATTCCCAAAGGACCCGCCACATACCCAGGTCAATATATAACTCAGATCTTACCCCAATATCCTGCTGTTGCCAATCCTTTAGTATCTAAAATCTAAAGGTTTATTTATAAAAAGAAAGGTGAGAATTAAAATTGGTTAAAGGAATCAAATACATACTATAAATGCAAAGTTCTTGGTTCAGGCTTTTAGCAGTGGTGAAATAAATTGCTGGCTTAAGTCAAATCTCTGGTTGCTTCCAAATCATTGGAAGGACCTCAGTCCCTTGGTTAGAATGCTCCCATTAGTATAAGTCCATAGTCCAGAGGTTTGAGCAGGAAAGAGGTTGGAGCAGAAAAGAGGCAAAATTGAGACATTTCCAGGGCCTTTCATAGCTTCTGCCATGTGGAGGGAAAGCTATTGTTTCAAAGCTCTCTGTGGAAAATTACAGGTAGCAACATGG